ACAATGTACAGTACATAGTACAATGTGGATATGAGTCGGTTGAAGATTATGGTTGAACCTAAGAGTTCGTCAGCTACCGCTGTAGTGCCGGTAATAATGAGGTTACTGGTCGGCCCCTAGTGAGATGCCCCCTCAGATGTGTAGAAGCTTCGACCACACACCCACTGTCACACTGACTGTCAACGGTGGCATGTCAGACAGTGGAGTGTGTCTCCCTCACTGGGCCTCAGCCTCAACTTGCTCAAGTAAGACAAGGCTGAGTATGATACTACTATCTTGCGACTCCCAGATCACTCAGGGGCCGGGCCTCAGCCCTCACTGGACTTCATTGCAATCGGCCAGTGCCGCAGTAACTCTGAGCTCGGCTGAGGAGATCTAATATGGCGAACAGCTTGATGTCCGGAGAATCCGAGATTGAGTATTCAAGTGACGCTCCCCCACCTCGATCGACTTGGTTGAGCACTCTTTTCTGGGATTCTTTTCAAGTGCCCATGGCATGGGCTCCAGTCTGGTTAGAATTGAGGAGCAAAAGGATGGTAAGACCTACATGTATAACGTGGCTAGTATAGTGCACTCGGCGGACCTGAGGCGGCTGAGGTCTCGGCGGGGCTCGGGGTGTGCTAGCTGCACCAATAATATCATGACTGAGAAGAAAAACAGAGAGGCCTAAACTTTGGGGAGAGGGGCTGGAAGAATGCTAGGCGGGACGAATGGTCATTGGTGGTATGGCCTTATGAATCAAAAGCAAAACATACTGCCTACTGGCTTGTGGAAAACATACTGCCTACTGGCTTGTGGAAAACATACTGCCTACTGGCTTGTGGAAAAACAAAACTGGCATACTGTATACATGTAGTGTAGGCTAACGCAGTAAACGGGTTTATAGCGCTAGCCTAGGGTACAGTAGACGTCTGCCCTGGCGCAAAGTCTGTGTGCATGTGCACGCGTGTGTGTGTGTGTGTGGTGTGTGTGTGTGTGTGTGTGTGTGTGTGTGTGTGTGTGTGTTGCCAGCTAGTTCGGTTGGTAGGAACACCTATGCCGGATAGTGTTGGGTCTGTTGCCAACAGCCTCTCGGCTGCTTGAAGGTGTAATGTTGTACCTACCACCTTTGTTGGTCAGGGGCGTGCTCGGCCCCCCAACTAGGGGGGTGCACGGGAGCCGAGGGGAGCCCCCCCCCCCGGCAATTTTCTGCAATTTGTTTGCAACCTTTCTTGAATTTTAGAGCATATTTGCATACATTACAATTGCAATTACCCAGATTGAAAATTTCTGGGGGGGTGCACGTGCCCCCGTGCCCATCGCCGAGCACGCGCCTGTTGGTTTCAGGGTTCATATACTATCTATTTGAAGTATACATACCTGTTAACCATGGGCTACTTCTGGCTAGATCAACTCTTGTGTAATCATGGTGCTAATGAAGCTTGTATGAGATCCACTCTGATTTAGCCACCCACACTAGTAGCAAGTATTACCTTCACTGGGGGCAGGGGTAACTGCAGTTGGATCCCGGGACGGATACCCTGATGCCGTCAATCCTTTTTCTGCACCTTGTCCTCACCCACTTACTGAGGTGCGGTGAGCCCATAAGTGGGATCATTTTCAAGTCCACCCGCAGAGTTTTGGGGATTTCAGTGGGTGTCGGCCGTTGGCGGTTCAATAGCCAATTGAGTCATCTTTCCAAGATTCCTTTTGAGTCTCTCTCCCCTCTCCCGGGGAGACCCACGTGACCAGTTTTGGCAGGGAGCAAAAAGTACAAGTGTGTGTGTACGTGTGTGTGTGTGTGCGTGCGAGCATGTGTGTGTGTGTGTGTGTGTGTGTGTGTGCGGTCATTTCATCAGCCTTGCAAGCTGTTGAATGGTGTAATCCCAGCACAAGTTGCTATGTCTAACATAGCTGTTCGCTATCATCGCTTCCGCGATGGGCATGTCTGAGGTCTGAGGTCTGAGGTGTGTGTGTGTGTGTGTGTGTACATGGTTGGTATGTGGTGTTTATGTGAGCGTATGATAATAATCTCTTTAATAATATTAATATCTTTATTTCAAGATTACCCAATGCCGGCGAACGCCTATCAGTTTGATCTCCTATTTGAACACGCGTATATGTGTGTGTATGATGTGCCCTAGCTCACTTAAACATGTATGTTATACACGACTGTTTTCTTTCCTTTCATTTCATCTTCTTTTCCGTTCCTTTCTTCTTCATACAAATTTTAAACATTTTCATCATATTGTGAGAGCCGTGGGCCAATAGCCCCGGTGAGAAGGCAGTCTTGCCTGTTCATATGGTGAAGTAAAATATAGAAACAACAACACGTACATCATGTCCATGATGCCTTTCCTCTGCGCAGGTCCACCGCACTATTGTTTTTAATAATAAAATAATCTTCGTGGGATCCGCGTCGGCATCGCTTGAATGTTCAGAAACACTCAAACTAGCCTTCGCATCCGCAGGCCACCACTATGCCTGTTAACCTTAGTAGCGAATGCAGACCTCACAAGTGAGTCAGGGGAGAGGAGGTTAATCTCTCTATTGTTTTTAAGATTAACATAATTATTACTTCTGCATATGTATTACATACTATTACCGGTACTTATTACTATGATCACGCTGGCTCCATCCCTTATTTCCTAAGCTTCCACACCCCCCCCGTTGCGTCTGCCCATTGTTGACTCTGAGACCCACGGTCAGGCGAGCTGTCCAGGCCTCACCACCACTGCCGTCGCCGAGTGCCGTTTCTGTGCTGCCTTCTCGATACGTAATACTGTATATCATGTGCACATTCACATGTCTGAAGGTTTGTGTTTTTTCAATCAAAAAAATAATAAAAAAGCTCGCTGCGTAGTCGACTACAGTGCATTTCAAAACTATAGACGCGTAGGGTTTTTGAAATATTTCAAATTTGGCTGGAACTTTTTGAGAATAGTTTTCAGAATATTGCTCAGGATCGCTCCACAATTACTCTCATATAGTTTCTAAAGGATTGGATAACAGACGCCCAATTAATTATTTGGAAAAATTTATGCACAAAATGATCACAGATTTTATGTGGTGTAGATGCTGGCATAACGGTTTTTGCCTAGGTACGCGTCTATAGTTTTGAAATGGACTGTAGTCTCGTCTTTCGGTTCCCAAATAATTCCATATCCATGTCCACCCACGCACCTGCACACTGTACTACCAAGAGTACATAATATATGTTCTTACATGACACGTGGTCGTTGCCGGGGCCATGGCCAATAGGCGATCTTCCCGCCGCGGGCATAATCAGGCCATCAGGACCGTTTGACGTCATTTCGGGAGTTTCAGGACCGTTTGACGTCATTTCGAGAATAATTTTTCGACCTTCGACCTTTCACCTTCCCTAACATGTTGCTTCGCGCTGTAAGAAATCAAATCAAGCACGCTCTGTCTGTCATGATGGCTGAATCTTGCCCTTGCCTGCAGCCCTCGGGCCTACGGCCCTTGGGCTGCAGGCTCAGGCAAGATTCAGCCATCATGACCTCCTGAGCGTGCTTGATTACATACTTATCGCATGGTTGCAAGGGCCCTCGAGGTTAGCCCTCGGGCCTACGGCCCTCGGGCTAACCTCTCGGGGCAATAATATGCCATAAGGCCCGCAGCAACCATGCGATAACAAATTTATCACATGGCCCACAGAGCAGACCATTGGGCTGCTGTTGAAATTAGCCCAAATGCCAACACATTATGACCACAATGTATATTGATATGCTATCATTATCAAAACAGGAAAAATGAAGATATTTCTCCTACACCCTAACAAAAGGTCTGCTACAGGCCATCAGAGAGTATACAGTACTGAAAGACGGAGACAGAAAAAAGTGCCGGCACCGCCTCGTCATAGCAATAGACATGGCAACGACAATAAAATACAGCAGAATCATAATTTCAGTTGAAAAATTAAGAGTGCTACCACAAAGAGTTTCTTCATGTTTACATGTGTATCAGGAAGTTGTCAAATACAGTACTGCAACAAGTGCAAGGATTTGTCGACTCCCTGGTGTGTAATTCTGAGGACAATTTTTCTTCTTTTTTTCAACTCCAGATATAGCTGTATTTTTCATTGCAAAACATTCCTGAATTGTTGTGTTTGTTGTTCAAGCAAAGGTGAAGGCAGAGGACAGATGAGCCTGGTAAGAGTTTTGCGTGGCACATGAAGACCACACACAGGCAGTGACTTTGCGAGGATTTGAAAACGCACGACGCTGAGTTGAATTTGTGTTATTTCAAAATAATAATTGTTTGTGATCACAGTACCACTTCGAGCAGAACTGAATCTTATCCACAAGCTTACCGACGGTCAGGCTGCCAACATGACTGAACAAATGATACCTGCAAGCACCACACGGCAGACGTCCGAGGCCATGTCCATTGCCGGGATGTCCATCTCCAAAAAGAATTCCATCTTCGTCTCAATGCTACACTGCGACTCGTCGTAGAGTCGTACAGTCTACAGAGTCCGAGACTCGTCGTAGTCACGCGATCACTGAAATAAACTATTTTTTTGCGGGCAAATAAACTATTGTTTTGCGGGCAATATCGCATAATTGCCCGCGGCGCGAAAGGTGCTGATTCGCTGGAGTACGGGCAACAATCACCTGCCATGTGATAACTGTAGTTATGACAGGTGTGTACTCTTGGTACTACCAATATCAAGAGTACATGTTTCATGTACTCTTGCCAATAATAATAAAATTATGGATCTCCCAGTCCCTGGTCCTGGACTCCTGATTAGTTTTGCCAACTACAGTAGACCTACTGGAGTACTGGTACTACTTCTTGTTTTGGGCTTTTATTTTGGACTCTGCACCAAGCTGCCGGGTTGACTGTAGATCTAACAGTGCAGCCGGGTAGCACGCGACTCATACTTGAGTAGCTCGTCGACGTCACACAACTGGTACATGGTCTGCATGTACTGACTGTACTGCACTGGTGAACATTACAATGTCATGTCATGGACTCATGGTGCAGGCAGAGAGACTGGTGACTCGAGTGAGTAGATCGATCTACGAGTCGTCGAGATCTCGAGAGCGAAAGCAGCAGGCAGAACCACCTGACTTTATCCGTTATTTAGCTGCTGTTTTGCTCCGTCTCCTCTTGATCTATCGCCTGAAGTCTGGTGTGTTTGTTGGAGAACAATGGCCTCTTGAAGCTCTGGTTACCCTCTCTGGTTGTAGCAGTAGACCTGACTAACATTGATTTATGCCTGCCTTGTTTTTGGAGGATCAAGTGTTTTCTCACCAGTTTTTTTTGTGGTAGTAAAAATTGTTGTCAATTTGAAATTGTGACTTCTATCTGGTATGGTGACAGTGGAGCTAATGCAGCTTAGTCTTCAGCAGCTCCTACCCAGGGAAATGAGGACCATTTACTTCACCCGGTTGTCCACTCGTTCGGTTTCGGAGTGCTGATTTGGATTTTGCCAAATCATCAGTGGCTTCAATTCTTAGCTGAGCCAGTGCACTTGTTGGCGACACCTGGATCAATTAATTCTCTTCATATTTCAACTCTGTGGCTGTGCTGCTGACTGCCGAGGGCGGTGAAATTAGTCGACAGTTGCATGTCAGTGGTGTGGTGCACTGGTGCCTTGCGGAGGC